GAGTCCTTCAAATTGTCAGCTATCAGTTTACGACCACAAGGTTTGATACTGGGTTGCCGGTTAGCCAGCTACATTAAATCTTGAGAACTTAAGTAGGAGCCTATTCTAAGTGCGGCTGGAAATTCTTCACTGCAATTTCTAGCCAAAATTCAATTCAGATCTCTCCTCAACCAAATATCCCACTACTCTTAACTCAATATATAACTGTCCGAAATTAGACAAAAAAATGTGGTTGAAAGACAAGCTCATCCCGAATTGGCCTAGCCTGTCTGTAATGATTAGGGCTTGATATGAAATAAACAAGTTTTTATTATGAACCTTTTTCAATTCCTTTAGCCCTGGTCATTCTCACTCACCGAAGTGTGGTTATTGTAACATCGCAATAATGCAATTTTTCTAATGACTGTTTGTAAAAAAGCAAGGTCTGTTCTAATCAAGCTTTAAAAAACCTTCAAAATGTTATTGTTTTAGTTCTTCAAATGTAACTGCCGCCTCCTTCAAAATGAACTTTAATTAAATGATGCATTCCCAAGACCAAAGAATTTCAGTGATTAAGACTCTATTGTTATGCGAATGATGAACTATCTATCGGTCTATTAGGTTAGCAGAAGTGCTGAATAATTGAAGTCGTACAAAAATTTCCCCTAACCATGACGTCTACAAAATATTCGTCTCATATCTTATACTATTAGTTAATAACGATTAGACTGCTGTCTCTAAAATGCACAAAACAACGAATTTGCTTATCAAAACTTTTCTGGCTTTATAGTTTTCCTGGATAACAACCGTTAATCAACTCTGATGCTAATCAGATCTTTGTAATAAGTGCTTCTAGTGAGAGTCTGCTATGAAGAACTCGGAAATCATTTAAATGAAAGTTAGAGATTTGCTGTTATGAAAAATTCACTTCGAAGATAAATTGTGTGCTTACTATGAACTATCCATCGGTTACCATAAAATGTAGTTTTGTAAATAAACCTCCAAAAACCATGAGCTTTGAGGAAGATCTAAGAAATTGAGAAATTGGAATAAATGGAAAAGTTTATGCTTTTTTTTATTACAACTTGCTCTACTTCAAGTTTTTTTTTTAAAGAGAAGATACAAAGCGGAACATGAGGAACTATTATATACAATGGTTTCGAGGAAAGAGGTCAAAGTATAAGAAACGGTGAGATCGGATCAATCAAAGTGTGGGAGTGGCTACTCGTCGTTCGATCGTGCTTTCGTCTCGAGT